CTCAGCAAATCCTTTCATTTGATACCCATATCATGATGGTAGATAAGAAAATCTTGTCCCACATCTTGGGGCATCCGCCATATTGAATTTAGTGTGATGTTATGTTTTTTGTATTTTTCTCAGTAAACTCTTTCATTTGATACTAACTAAACTAACTAACCCGCCATCTTTGGGAGTCCTCCATATTGGATTTAAAATGACGTCACTTAACTAACCATGCGTCATTCAAAATGAACGTGCATGCAAAATTTAAGCTCAATCGGCTGAGGGTACTGGTTTATAATTCAATTGCAAGATTTGACATAAATAAACATTCAAATATTGCAAGATAATAAAAAGTTTGTAAAAATTTTAGGCATTCCAAAAAGAATGGTTGCCCGTACTATTAATATAATAATAATAATACTCTCCCTAATTCACCCCCTTACGAGTGAATTTTAACCCCAAAGGCTGAGCTTGTGCGGGAAAAGGGACAGCTATTATTATTATTATTATTATTATTATTTGCCGTGGCACTCCGGGGCGACTTAAAGATGATTGATGGTGTGGCCATTTGACTTACAGGTGAGGATAACCCGGAAAACCTCACCCACCATCATCGAGACGGTAATGTATGGTGATTTTATAATCTGCATGTCATTTGTTAATTGAATATCCATTAATACGGCACACATCAAATCCTATACCGAACCATGCAATTTAATTAAAAATCTACATGGTCTGGTCTGGGATTTGAAGCCCGGCAGTCTCGGACCATAAACTTGCCTATAAATGAATATAAGCGCGTTAGACTGCTACACCACCGACCCGACTTGTAACTATACTTATTATTTTTATACTTTCCTATCCCAACGAGATAGTGTAAATAACAAAAATTTACATCAACGATATAGAAAAAGATAATCTTCACGTAGGTAACTTCATAATCGAATGTGTTAAAATTTTAAAGTGTTGGAAATAAATAAAACCTTTATAAAAATACACCTTTAATAAAAGTACCACATTTTAGTTTTAATGAGTTAAATATATAGAATTTCAAAACAAATCAAAATAAATTAGATATACAATATTAGCAGATTAGCTAGGTACCTGTATTTCACGAAATTTTTGTATAAATAAGTAAAAAAATCGCACAGAAAGAACTTTGGATAACACGGAGAAATTGTTTATTATCCATCACTCAATATAAAATAGAAATATTCAAAAATCAAATCATTTTTTATACAACTCCCCCTACTACCTTTCAACGTAATGGAAATAAATCAAAATATTAAAAATTTAATCTTTTGTTACTGTGATGTTCATAATTATTTTCTCTAATGAGAATGAAACTGACTTTTCTTAGAATACAGGTAGTCAAAATTAAATTATTTTTATTTCTTAATATTTTAATAAGATTTACAACCTTAATCTATGAACATTATGAATTTTAAAATCAAATAACTACTTCTTTGATCCTCTAAGTCTTATAACAAGTTTTATAATAATAAATTGTTTAGACTTAGGTACTTAATCTACTTTAATCCCAGTATTTTTTAAATTTGTATCTTATATTTCTTATACTGTAAAACAATGAAAATGAGAGCAATTTGTTTTTCTATCTTATGGAGTTAAAAATTCTTTTAAAATCAATAAGTATAAGAGGTAAATATTTATTTCCACAGGTGTCAACGATATACGCCATCAAATACTATGGGATTTAAACCCGAATCGCCGAATCCAAAGTCCCAAGCTCTATCCATTCCTTTAATAATGGTATTAATTTATATACATATTTCGTTTTTAGCTAATGCAAAAATCGGTCATTTAACTATAGGTGATTATAAATTTTCTCCATATTTTAAAAAATGAAATTCATCTTTTTTTGAAAACATGGATCTAACAATCAGTATGTCGGCACATAGAATTAATAAATACAAATAAAAAACTCGTTTGTAAAAAATTTTAAAAATAAATAATTATATAATTACTTATTGCTTTGTAATTACTATTTAAATAAAATAAATAATATAACTATATTATTTTTTTTTTTGGTACTAAAATATTGATCTTCCCTCGTTTCCGTATCCAGATAGAAATGATTCTACGCTAAGAACTCCGTGAGTAGCAAATAACAAATTCAACGGATCAATAATTCATTTTTGGTGAATAGATTATTTTACCAGATATTTGAATACATGAACTACTGGTTAGGCAGTCCCGCAGTACAGAATTCGACCGCAATCCTTTGGAGACTCTGTCCTTAACTGTCAACTAATCCCGGTCACAGAAATACATCAAAGAAACACAAGAGCAGCAAACTCTATCAAATTTTATATACAAACAACTAATAAAGTAGTTCTATGATAAGCTTATTTCATAAAGGGTTAGATCAATTCAATCAACTGCTACAAGATTTTAAAAAATGTTCAGAATCCTAGTCAACTTAAGAAAGAACTTATTATTTATGTTAAAAATAATTTATGAATTATACAGTTGAAAATTGTTCTTTTTCTCTTTTCTTATATCTTTTACTTGTTATACTTTTAACCAATCTTCTATGTTAAATACCTACATCACTGTTTCTTTTATTCTTTTGTTTTCCTCTTTTTTTTTATTATACAGTGTGTCTGAAAAAGTTGGCAACAAATGGGAAACTTTTTTATTATTAAGTTTAGGAAAAAACGTCATTCTTCATAAAAAGTTCTGCAAGGCCTAAAACCCAATATACGATAATCAGATATCGAAATTTTCCAATCGTATACGAGGTTTGTCAAAAAGTATGAATTTTGCTCAAGAGTAAAGTACCTTTATTTTCGACAATATCTAAAATTGTTATTAAGAAAAGTTGATTAGAATTGAAACCTACGTTTAAATGTCTAATTACAGCTATCTACGATAAAAACCAGGTTTTATTATTGTTTACAATTTCTTTAAGATCGAAAATGATCAAAAACTAGGTATCTAAATTATTGACCTGTACAAAATCAAGTTGCTGTGGAAATGTTTTGAAACATATCTTATGTCAGTATGCTTCAAAACCTCAGTTTGTAATAATTGTACTTTTTTAAATACTAGTAAAAATGCCGTTGAAATTAAGTCTTGAAGAGAAAATTGAAATTGTTTTAATTGTTGGAGATAACTACAAAACTTATAGGGAAGCTGCCATAATCTTTAATAACAGACATCCTGATAAAAATGTACATTTTGCAACAGTAAGTAAAATAATAAAAAAGTTCAAGTGTTCCGGAAATGTTGAGAATAAATTCAAAAAGAAACATGAGGCATGGGTTGCTACTGAAGAAATTCAAAATCAAGTAATGCTCTCAGCAATAGAAAATCCTAAAGATTCCATAAGAAAAAGGGCAGCTTTACTTGGTGTGCGCAAAGACGTAGTTGCAGGAATATTAAAAGCAAACAAATTTAAACCTTACAAACCCCAGTTCACTCATACCCTAAAAGCAGGAGATTTTAATAGAAGATTTGAATTTTGTGCTTGGTTCCAAGGGGAGTTAGAAGATAATAATTATATGGCACGGTGCATAATTTTTTCGGACGAGGCAACGTTCACTTCTAATGGGGTAGTCAGCTCACAAAATTGCCGTTGGTGGAGTGATGTTAATCCTAATTTCACTGTCCAAACTCGTGACCAATACTGTTTTAAAACAAATGTATGGTGTGGAATTTTTAAAGATAGAATAATTGGACAATTTTTTTTTCGAACTAATATGAATGCTGAACGTTATCTGGAAATTTTAAATAATGAGATTCTTGAATTTCTTCATAACCTACCAATAATGGAAAGGCAACGTACATGGTACCAACATGATGGAGCAACCTGCCATAGTACAAGAAATGTTCGAGAATGTCTTCTACAAATTTTTAACGGAAGAGTAATTGGAAGATTTGTGGACTTTGCTTGGCCTCCAAGATCTCCGGACCTGACCCCCCTAGACTTCTTTTTATGGGGATACTTGAAGCAAAAGGTATACCTTAAAAGACCGTTTGAAAATATTGATCATTTGGAAAGAATAATTAGGGAAACATGTGACGGTGTTACTCCAGATGTTATTAGAAATGCAATAAAAGAATTCTCTCGAAGAACAATTACCTGCTTAGAAAGGGACGGTGGATATGTTGAGGCGTACGTGCAGTGAGGGAAAAGTTAATCCGGATTCTTCTTTTTCATGCATGTAATGTTTGATGTTGTGTTTTGAAAATAAATGATTTTAATTATGTATGCATTTGTTTACATTGTATTATTGATAACTCGTGCAAAACAAAGTCAATATTTATAGCAAAATTTGCAATGAGAAAATGAGTGGTGTAATCAGTAAGTGCACATGAACATAATTTTTAATTTCTATCGATATTGAAGCATACTGACATAAGATATGTTTCAAAACATTTCCACAGCAACTTGATTTTGTACAGGTCAATAATTTAGATACCTAGTTTTTGGTCATTTTCGATCTTAAAGAAATTGTAAACAATAATAAAACCTGGTTTTTATCGTAGATAGCTGTAATTAGACATTTAAACGTAGTTTTCAATTCTAATCAACTTTTCTTTATAACAATTTTAGATATTGTCGAAAATAAAGGTACTTTACTCTTGAGCAAAATTCATACTTTTTGACAAACCTCGTATACGATTGGAAAATTTCGATATCTGATTATCGTATATTGGGTTTTAGGCCTTACAGAACTTTTTATGAAGAATGATGTTTTTTCCTAAACTTAATAATAAAAAAGTTTCCCATTTGTTGCCAACTTTTTCAGACACACTGTATGTATAAGGGAGAGGGACAATAATTATGTTAAGTTTTAAGTTTTATTTTGAATTTGATTTTGAATTAATTATGAAGTTCATGTTTATATTGAATTGTTAGTTTATTTTGAATTATTGTATATTATCTTTGATAAATAAAGATACTTATTATTAAATTATTATTTTTAATATTTCAAAAACCCTGTATATTATATATTTAATACATCTTAAATTATGAAAAAAATACTCACAGTTTCAGTTGACTAATTTCTGCAGGCAAAGTCAACAAATCGTTATCCGAAAGATCCAGAACCACCAAACTAACTAATTGAAGAACACTGCTGGGAAAATTTTGAATTCCATTCGAGCGCAAACTGAGTATCTGCAATTCCGAAAGGGACTGTATCGATTCACCAGGAAGCACGATTTCTTCAACATAGCACTCTTCTTTCTTGTTACATAAACCGTTTAGGTTCAAGTGTTTCAACGATTGCTGTAGATTAGCATTTTCGTTCGCGTTATCTGATGAAGGCGCGTGGTCGACTTGAGGTTCCTGAAGAATAAAGAAAACAATGTGTTAATATTTAATTTTTTATTGTTCTATAGTGATACGTCACGTAGCTTCTAAAAAAAATGTTTTTTAAAATAATGTTTCTTATTAATATAATGCAAAATATTCATTATATAGTCCAGGGATCTATTTCATAAAACTACTTTGCAACATTTCATTTTGCAAATTTACGAGTGCAAAATACTTGTGTTTCCTAAAATAATGTCGTTATCTTTGCAGATTATTAATTTTCACTTTGGAAATTGCTTTTCAAATTTTACTTTTTAACTGGTCAAATTTCTCTTTTATGAAACATAAATTTACTAAAATATGCAAAGTACAAAGTAGTTTTATGAAATAGGCCCCAGATCATATAGTGCACGGACATTGCCATAAACAGGGAAGACTTTTTCAGTTACTTATATAATGTTTTTGAGGATGCTGAACATGAATTTGTACTTTGTCACCTTGAATTTTTCCGGGATAAATTTGTTTTTTCTTTCAATAATACTCATACTAGATTATTTCGATTATATTTTTCATTTAAATATATCTGATGTGTTTCTACTGTCAAAATATAAGGTAGGACCTCATGAACGCTGCGCAAGGTATCTGAATAAAATAATTGAGTGAGTACAGTCCTTCTAATCAAAAAGTGTTTAGAATATGAAATAGAGATAAAATTTCCACATTCCTTTTATTCGAAACGTTTTTTCATTTACCAACATTGTTATATTCTAAACCGTAAAATTAAAACTAAATGTCATATCGAAGATTTCATGGTAACGTGTGTAACTCCGAGCAATTCCACTAGAGGGAGCGTGAAACGAGTTTCTAGGCAATACGCTAGTTTAGTGGGATGTCATTTTGGTTCCACCAACATTTAATTCTAACCAAACTTGTAACAAAACCATGAATAATTTTGACATATACTTTTTTACTGTTTTTAGTTTATTTCTAAATATTGTTTACAGGTCATAAAAAGTAGTTTAAAGGTATGTAATTGGTAACTAAACTATTGTATATTTGATGCATGTTATCTAATTACTTTAGGAATATATTTATAAAAGTGAAAAAACTATATAATTTAGGTAAACAAAACGAACAAAACGCACTCAAAAAATCTACTGTCACTTTAATTGTCAGTGGAACCAAAGTATATTAACCGTTACTTTGGTGGAACCACATACTTTGATTACTATACGGGGCAAGAGAGAGGTCCGACACGCCCAACATAGGGCGCGGCCATTTTGATCCCTATGACACAGTTTATAGCTAAATAATCAGATCGCTCACTCTGCGCCGGCACTTTTGATCTCAATGTTCCAGTTTATACACTGCGCAACTCGGATAATACAATATATGATAACCGCCTATAATAAAACAGCAGTCTTCTGCGTATCCTGAATTTGTATCCCTGGAGTGGATGTTATTTTGGAACTTTCAACTGGTCCGAGTGAGCTAACTGATTCTTTAGAAATAAACTGTGACTCCAAAAATAATATTCACTGACACTGACAGCAGCAAGCAAAATATCGGTGCGTTTTAATCATCCGCTTCTGCTTCCGGAATTGTCGGTTTAGTCGTTTTGACCTGTCAGATTAAAACAAGAAAACCGACAATTCCGAAGCAGCAGCGGATGATTAAAACGCACCTATTAAAAATATTGCGCCAAGATGTAGACAACACGTAATAAGGGTTCAAAATGGCGGAGTTTTCTATCTCCTTTTAAAAGGCACTCAGAAAGCTGCGCAGTGCGACCATTCTCCGTATAGTAAAAGAAAATCAAAGTATGTGGGTGGAACCATAATTTCATCATCACTGGACTAGCGTATTGTTGTGATCGCGACATCCATAGAGGAAGTGAGGAAGCGGGCACAGGGGGGAAGGTAAACAACCCCTCTTGTACAAACTTTTTAAATGTAGAAAACTAAAAGATTCGCTAATTTTACTATTTTTAAAATGTATACCGTTTTATATATGTCTGATGCAGGAAATAAAACGAAATCACTGTAAAGATCTAATTTTTTTCAGTTAAAGAATAAAACCTCAAAATCAATACATCAATTTTATTATAAATAAAGACAGGAACGACTAGTTTCGGCCTCACAGAGACATCTTCAGGCCTGTAAAATTATAATCCTTAATTATTATAATGGGACCAATATAAGAATAGGTTGGTCACTTACGATTAAAATTAAATAGTATAAATCACAAAAATGGATCCATATTGTAGAATTAAAGCAGTAAAAAAGGAAAAATAAAAGAGCAGTGCAAACTTAACTAAATATAAAAAAAATGGGTACGGAATCTACAAGAGAAGAGGTGAGAATAAGCAATTACGAATGCATTTAAATTGCTCGGGATAACAAATAAGGCTGATAATGTAAAGTAGTGGTATAGCCCCCTCAAAGAAAGTCAGGATATGTGAAAGAGGACTCGGAGTTTTCTCTGTAAATATTGAGAATGTAAGGATGTAGGGAAGACCAATTTTGCTGGCTCAGGTGTAGATAGTCTAGAAAAAGAAGAGTGTAGATGGAAACTCCAGTAAATATCGTCAGTTTCGTCTAATTCATTTTCAAAAGGAAATAAAAGTAATCATTCATGTAAACATTTAATAAAACAACGTGAATTCATTATATTTAATAAGCTAATAAACGTTTGTTTCAATGAAAAAACACATATGTGAATATAAAAAAAATCCAATAGATAAGATTAATATCAAAATCAATAGAGAAAAATAAAATAAATTAATGCCTTCTAAAAGTAACACATTTTAAGTAGATAAATGTTTAAAGAGTTGATGATCCCTGAACATAACTAATCTGACGTTTTCCCCCTTTTTAATATTGAGAGGTTTTTTGTAGTTAAAATAGGTTATCACAGATGAAAATACATATAGAACTTCAAAATCTTAAAACGTTATCAAAAATTATTAAAGGTAAATCTTTAAACAATAATTGGATTCTTAAACAAATTTCTTGTTTTTGTTTTGCAAAAGACTTTTTTGCCTTATTCGGTTGCCTCTGCCACTTTTCTTGTAGTAGTTTCGAGGATAATTTCACTATGAAAACCAGGATAACCATCAATTGGTTGGTAACATTTTGATACTTTAGTAAGAGGTTAGTCTTGTTAAACTTTCTTTTTACGTAACTGTAAACTTTTGGAGAATAAAAATTTAATCAGAAGCTCTTAATTAAGAATCATATTTGTGAAGGCCGTTTTAATAATATTTTCAAAAGTTCTTGGAATCGTTGTTAAACAGTTTTATTTTTTAAAGATTTCTAGGCTATTATATTGCTGTTTGATCTTCTACCTCTATTTATTCTTTATTGGGGAGGCTACGTTCAGTAGCTCAAACAATTTCTTATGAAATAAGTTTAGTTTTAATGTTAATATCATTTTTAGTTTTAATTTTAAGGTTAAATTTGGTAGACGTTTTTATGTATCAAGAATATGTTTGATTTTTATTTATATTATTTCGATTATGTTTAATATGAATTGTTTGCAACAAAATATATTATTTTATTCCTAAAATATAAGATATCACACAATGCACATTTATATAATATCATTGTGCTAGAACAATAGTAGGTAGGTACTGGGACAATTTAAACATTTTTTTCACAAAATAAAATTTTAATGTCATCATTGTACTGAAATGTTTTATTGCTAAATTATTAATAATGTCATTTTGTGTAGTTCGTTGTGATTTGTATAATATATAAGTAGAAGAGATCTAGGTTCTAAAGTCGCCGCTAGATGGTGCCACCTGTCAGTAGTGAACAATTGAAACTCAGTTAAGTGGTTTGCGACTTGGCTAAGCGATGGTTCAATCTTAGTATGAGGTTCACGTTGGCAGGGAGGCCTAGGGGGTCGTCGGGGAGGCCTACGGGTCGACGAGGAGGCCTAGATCTATGCAGACTTGAAAACGAAGAAGAATGGGAGACCGAATGGGCTGCGCGCGAGAGAATTAATTAATATGAAACTATAGGTATATATAATTAGTAAACTGTAAAAATATTAGGAATTAATATAAAAATACAAAATTGTTATAAAACGTAATTTTGAAAGCAAATATTAATCAGTTGTTATCTCCTTTTATACAAGACCTTCGCGGACCGACAACATCGCGTCATGGTCTGGCCTCGTGCTTGGCTATCGGTATTGTTTATTTGAGTAGGTAGTACTCTGCGCTTTGCCGGGTCGCAAATCACTGAGATGAGTTTCAATTATCCACCACTGGCATGTGTCGCCATCTAGCGGCCACTTTGGAAGTAGTGCTCCCATACCCTTAGATCTCTTCTACTTATATATTATAAAAACCTACCGTTAATGTTATTAGGTGCCGACTTTTTTTTTAATAATTATTTTGTAAGATGTTCTTGTTCTAGTAAAAACGCATTTAAACACATTTCTAGAAGTTTTCTGGATTTTCGCTTTAAGTTATCGTATAATTGAATTGACTAATTATGTGTTTAATTAAAGGTATATTTCTTTTTTTTTTGTTAAAACAGTCTTTGTAATGTACTATACTTTTTAGATAATTAGAGAAAACAGTAGGACATCTTAAAATATCTTATTTCTCAAACGGAAAAAGACATTTTAGGTTGTCCTACTAGGTATTACTTTAAAAACTAATTAAAATGTATATTGCAACTGTGCTTAAATAAATGAATGTTTTTATACCTGACTATAGCACCAGAAAGACATTTTTTATATCATAATGATCTGGATAACTCAAAATAGTCAAAATCCACATTATATAAGTTGCTCTAGTATTGTTTTAGCATAACGATGTTTTTTGGGACGTTTTTTAGTAAATAAAAAAAACATGAATAATGTGATATTCTTGTTTAGTTTATTACTACATGTTATAGTTAGTGATTTTGAAGCAAATTACGTTCTATTTATAGAATAAAAAATCACTCATAATATGCAAATATTTATACATCTCTAATTATGTGACGAAATAGTTGATAGTAGCAATTTTTCGAAAGTATTGAGAGAGTTCTGCACCTGCTCTAGGTTGCTTCCCGATGAGGTAGCGTCATGAATTTCGACGGCTTTAACCTGGTATTTTTGTCTTCTTCAAAACATGTGTTGTCCCGATTATATATGCCTTGTTACCGGTTAAGAGCGAAAGACATGTGCAAGACTTTTTCCAATTTTAAAAGAAAAAGTGCCTGCTTTCAAACCAATAGAGTTCCATCTGGACTTTGAAAAAGCTGCCATTAACGGAATTATAAAAATATTTCCTGAAGTGAAAATAAAAGGTTGTAATTTTCACTTCAACCAAGCACTCTGGAGGAAAATTCAAGAGCTTGGACTTTCAGTAGAGTATAGAGAAAAGGAAGACGTAAGGCAGCATTTGAGAATGTGTGCTGCTCTGGCATATTTGCCTCCCCACCAAATTGACGAAGGTTGGTTGACAATTATGGAAAACTCTCTAAATATGGAAAAGATAATTAAATTTAACGATTACTTTGTTAAAGAGTGGTTACACTCTCAAAGATATTGGGTGTGTTTCCGCAGTCGCCATCGAACCACAAACGTCGCTGAAGCTTGGCATAGTAGACTGAACAAAAAATGCAAAAAAGTCCATCCAAATATATTTAAGATAATTACTATCCTACATGACGACTCCATTCATTATAAGATAATTATTGAACAATATAAGCTTATGTTGACAACACCAAAAAGGCTCAAAAAATATTGTGATTTGGATAGGAGGATCTCGAGAACACTATCACCAAATATGTTGAGGAAACTATTGATTTGCCAGAAACGCTGCGACGATTGACATACATTGTGAAATATTAATAAACTAACCACGACAAGTCAGCATGCTGCATAAAACTTTGTATATATGTATATATTTTTTCAGACAAGCTCATATTTGAAGCGCAAACATTTTTAAACACGCCAATATATAAAATGTATGCATTACATAGAAGGCTAAGACATTTCATTTTATAAATTGCCAGTCCTAAGCCTGGATAAAGTGTGAAGGAAAATTTATATTCTTTTTACCTACCTACCTACCTGACATCTTTATAAGTGCTAAATATAAATTTGGCTTTTCATTTATTTTAGAAATTATGATTTTTTTAAATATTAGGGTTGAGAAATCAACTCCTTTAACTGTTTGGAAGCAATTTTCTTTTTAAATGTACATAGAACTAGCGATTTACTTTTTAATTGCTAAATATGAATTTGAATTTTCATTTATTTTGGGAATTATAATTTTTATAAATATTTGGGGGTAGAAATTAACCCCTTTGCCCGTTCGGAAGCAATTTTTCTTTTAACTGTATATAGTACTAGCAATTATCTTTTTAAGTGCTAAATATAAATTTGGCTGTTCATTTATTTTAAAAATTAGGGTTTTTTAAATATTGGGGTTGAGAAATCAACCCCTTTGACCGTTCGGGAACAATTTTCCTTTTTACTGTACATAGCCATACATAGCCATTTACTTTTTAATTGCTAAATATGAATTTTGTTTTTCATTTATTTTGGGAATTATAATTTTTTTTTAAATATTTGGGGTAGAAATCAACCCCTTCGACCGTTCGGAAGCAATTTTCCTTTTAACTGTATATAGTACTGGCCATTTGCGTTTTAATTGCCTAATATTGGCTTTTTATTTATTTTAGGAATTGTGATTTTATTAAATATTAGGGTTCAGAAATCAACCCCTTTGAATGTTCGGAAGCAATTTTCCTTTTAACTGTATATATAACTAGCCATTTACTTTTTATGTGCTAAATATGAATTTGGCTTTTCATTTATTTTAGTAATTATGAATTTTTTTAATATTAGGGTTGAGAAATCAACCCCTTTGACTGTTTGGGAGCACTTTTTCTTTTATCTGTATAGCTTGTCCTTTTAACTAAATATATTACTAGCCATTTACTTTTCATGTACTAAATATGAATTTGGCTTTTCATTTATTTTAAGAATTATGAATTTTTTTAATATTAGGGCTGAGAAATCAACCCCTTTGACTGTTTGGGAGCAATTTTTCTTTTATCTGTATAGCTTGTCCTTTTAACTGTATATATTACTAGCCATTTACTTTTCATGTGCTAAATATGAATTTGGCTTTTCATTTATTTTAGGAATTATGAATTTTTTTAATATTAGGGTTGAGAAATCAACCCCTTTGACTGTTTGTGAGCAATTTTTCTTTTATTTGTATAGCTTGTCATTTGCTATTTAATTGCCAAAAATTAACTCAGAAAATACTAAATCGTTTTTATTATTTCCGTTTTTTTTTTATGTTCAGCTTACTACAAAATTATGAATATCTAACGAAAATTATAAAATATAAGTTTATTAAATTTATTAAAGCGTTGTCTTTTGCGATATTTATTTTTTTTTTTAATTTTTGTCATATTTAGCTTGTACGCCACTGAAATGCCAAATCATGCGTTTCGGAAATTTTGGTTGCTGAAATTGGCTGCTATCTTCACATCGGTAGTAAATGGTACCTTTTCGTTTGCTAATATTTTTTTAGTTTTGGTTTTCTTGAACTGGAGCATGGTTTATGTTTCGATATTTGGCTAACTTTTGTTTTGTATTTATTAGTTCATTGTCTTATTGATCTCAAAATGTATATATTATTCGTTTCTTGTTTTTATCTGATTTTTTTTTGCAAGGAGTAGTACCTACTTATTTTTATTTTATGTTAAGGTCTTTAATAAATATTTATTTGACATTTTTTGTTTACTTTTTTTTTGAAAAAAAGTATGCCTAGGGCCAAGAAAAGTCTTGCGGGTGGACCCCCAAGAAAATCGGCACGCCCCTGCTTCTTCTTCATCATCGTGCGATATCGTTATTATATTCACTCTTGTTGTATATATGAATAATATTTTCTATATCGATAAGAGAGCATTTTTGTTCAATTATTGTTTTTTGATTTAAAAAAATACTTATTTACGATTGTAGAGGATCTGTAACAATTTATTATTGTTTTACTTACATTACGATCATCACCACTGGAATCTCCCTCCAAAGAATCGATCTCTATGTTCTCGCATTCCAAAATTTTAGGAAACCTCACTACTTTATCACTAACTTTACGAGTTTTTCTAACAGTCGCTGCAGCTAACATCATTATTTAACCCTAATTAACAATCACAAAATCGCCATATCAATTCAAAAATATCACAACTCAAACTTTTTTTACATTTGTTTTTTCATTAACTGTTATTTTATTTTTATTTGCGTGCATTATGGTATGTTGGTTTAGGTACATGTTTGTAAGTAAACTAAGGACTTTGTTGAATCTAAGTATAGTAATTGTGATTCTGTAAAGTGCGACCCAAGACAGCATGACATCACGCTTGGGTACTTCTTATTCTTCTCTCGACAACGCGACTTGATTAATTCTATGTGCCAATATACGGAAGGTTTTGATGAACTGATATAAATAATTTCTTTTAAGTATGTAACCGATCAAAAATAACTAAAGTTTTAAATAATTAATTTCATAATTTAGTGTATTTGTTAAAGTTGAAATCATATGAAAATCTTTTATAAAATTAATTTTAAGAAAATAACTTCTGTATGGTCTAAAACCCAAAACATAACATAATGTTTGACAGACAGGATTTCTCAAAAAAATATAAATTGCATACTTTTGTTTTTAAAAATATGGGAAATTGTTACAATGAAAAATCTACCCAGAAAAATAGGATTTCATAATGTTTTACAACCTTGAACATTTTTTGTTGTACCAATATATTATTATAACGATTCTTTATTACATTTTACCTGTTTTTAGATATAAAACGACTGCAGAAGAGATAAATTACTGTTAAATTAAATTAAAACCGGTTTAATTTTTGAAGCGATGTCAAACATCAAATTTTTCATTTGAGAGATGTCGTTCGTTCTTATTTTCAGAGCAAATATCTTGCACCAGAAATTAATCACTAACATCATGACATCAATCACTGATGGAACAATTATTGAATATATATCACAAACACAATTACACATGTGGGATAGAAGAAGCTACCTATAACGCACTAAATGATTGGACAAAATTAGCTAAATAGTATAAGGTACCAATATTGCAAAGGTTCACTAAAACCTTAAACGGTGAACGATGATAAAGCTAGATTGGTGAATAATAATAAACGAATACAACAATGACTAGGTACATATTATTATATTAGATTACTAGAGGATAGCTAAGTTCCCTGATTTCTTACCTCTAGACTCAGAGATATATCATCTTTTTTAAATCAAGTCTTTTAACTTTTTTTGTATAGATATTTATAAAATGTAGTGTAACCTAAATATGACAATTTATTAGAAGAGCATAAATTATATTTTTATATAAAAAGATTTTACTTCTCAATACATTGAATAAAAAAGAAATTGACAACTTGTTTAACTATTATTAAAGGAAATTATATAGAAATTAAAAAATATGCCTTAATTTGTTGTTTTAAATAAAACAACCAATGTTAGTTTATTGAATTTTGTTTGAATTTTACAAATTTTATGCTTGATTTCCAAGATAGATATATGCAGATTTTATAAAAAACAACAAGATATTCTATTATACTCGAGAGCATCATCTATGATTTCTCTCAACTTTTCTTCTGGGTTTGCACTTGAACTGATGGTTACATTTCCAGGCACATCTAGCCTGTTGAAAAGAATGAACTGCTTGAATTCTGATATACCTGACATACCATGTACCTATAGAATCACTTTTTATAAAATTTCAGGTGTTGTTTATTCTTCTTTATACAATTCTGTAGTATTTACTTTTGCTTCTAAAATTCCTAGAATGTCAAATGAAACCTAAAATATAATATTTTTAAAATGTATTTTTAGTTCGATTAAGTATAATTACCTTTTATAAGTATTTGTTGTAAAATGTTACCGGACATTCGTTTAAATGTTTATCTTCTCGTTTACAATGATTTATCTGCAATTCTTTGTTTTTATTGTAGTTAAACCATTTTGTATATCTAATGAATGAAATAAAAAATTTACATCAGGCATTGTAATCTGAAACAAAGACAATGGTTTAGAAAATAGTTTTCTATTTTATAGAGGACCCTTACCAAATCTACTCGAATGTATAAATAATAATTATTTATAAAATAAATTCTGGAAGTCAAATGACAAGAAAAACTGACAAGTGACAATTGGCATAAACATAAACGTTCCGAATTCGGAATTGTGATGTTCACGGTACTTCTCGTGGATACTATTTTAGCAAATTACTTTATTACGTTGTGTTAACATAACAGGTAGGTTAACTAGGTAAATAACAAATAGAAGTTTTGCGAGGTTTTCATTTCCTTCAACAACTTCTCATGAACGTTGCATTTACGTTGTATAGTAATGTTATTACGTTCCCTTAATGCAACATCGCCGAAAGGCTTGGCAACGTTATGTGCTAGCTGGATATTATTACGAAATTGTAGTTCTGTAACATCTCAGAGGCATATTTTAAGAATAACGTATGTAACATAAGTTTTGAGACAAAAATCAAGTTAACACTATTTGTTAAAATTTTCAGCTTTCCTTAATATACATATGTACACCGTTAATGATTAACACCATTAATGCAGTTAACGGCCTATGGTCTTGTATCCGTCATATGTTTGTTGTCAAGTACTTCATAAGTGATTGGATGGTAACAACATCGATTACCCGAATCTTATGGTAAATTCTTTATCTTAATTATTTATTTTCTACCTTCCATCCATTATCTTAAACTTTCCTGATTAATAAGACCCAAAATTCTTCGATGAAGCAACAATTTAGGCAAATATTTTTCTATATAAAGACCTGCAGTGATGGCTTCTCCTCTAATATGTTCTAAATATGACCGCTATGGACCTGCCGAAGAAATAGCGCATTACACCAGAATTTTATCTTTAAATGTAGTTTTTCTTTTAAATTTTACATTATCCGAAGCTGCATTGAAATCCTCGGTATAGAATCCACATTTTGCATTCGGCCAAATAAATTATAGATACTTTTTTGTATTTCGATTTTGTACGCCATGTCACAAAAATTTTTTGACAACAACTGTCAATATTTATGATAACAAGGCCTACTTGAATAAATTCCAGGCATTGGTAACTAGACTAAATCTTTTCAAAGTCATAAAAATTATTTACGAAATTTGTCTCAAAACTTATGTTACATATTTTAGTTTTCCTGACATTTATAGACAGCATTATTTCTATTTCATAGCAAATGGTCATTAGTTGTGTCAGGTACTAATTTAATTGAAAAACATTTAAAAAATGTATGAGTATAAATTTGTGTAAATTTCCATTCTGGCATACAGTCTGTTTCAGCCGTAGGAAGTACGCACAGAATTCCAATAGGAAAAGCCTAATCACAAATTAAAATGCATCAGGGTATTTCAAAATCAATGTTATGACATCTTGTAGGTAAATGCACTATTCCATAAAATCAGTATTAATCGGTGTTACGTTAGGATGTAGATAAAACAATGGTGACACTTTTTTGTACTATGAATTCTTTACAAATAATCTTAATTAATCAATAGATATTTGGGACAGGCATTATAATAAAATAAATAATTTTACAAACGCTTAGAGCTCATAACTATCTATTTATTACTAGTTTTTTAATTCAATAATGTAGGTAAGTAATGATTGCAATTTCTTGAATTTGCTTCTATAAAGGGTTCTAGTACATTCCCTGCTATCTGTGATCATAGGCGTCCCTATAGTTGGGTAAAGGGGGATTATCCCCTTTATCAAATATTCCTGGTTTTAAGAACAAGTGGGGTCGTAAAAAGGTCCAAACAAGGCAGAGTAATCTAAAGGATCAGAGCATAATCAGATTGGTCGGAAATGGCTTGCTTTACAATAACAATAAGAACCATGTGATCATGAATTAAAAGTATTTCTAATATTATTGTTATTCGCAAAGGTAATAGATTTTAAAAAAATATTTTCTGCAACAGGGTAGCAACATATTTCAAATCAAATCAAAGATCTAGTTAGTGCTTATTAATTATAAGGAACTAATGACATTCATAAAGCAGAATTCTATAGGATTTCGGGCAAAAAAGTCAAAGTAATTTAGTTAAGTTTTTTTTATAAAAAACTTAACTTACTTACCTAACCTCTGCTTTCTGGAGTCGTCGCGGTTTGCCTCGCAAAAAAATTTATTAAAAGTTAGGTATATTAGTTAAGTTTTTTTTTTTTTTTCATTTATTGTATATTTGTTTTTGCAAAGCAACCAACAATGATTCTTTTAGGCCGAACAGGTTAGGTAAATTAGTTAAAAATTTTGTTCCCATTTTTCTTATTTTTCAATAATTTTATGTATATTTGGTTTTTCGATCAATTGCTGTTTCTATCAAATCTATTTTTGTTCAATTTTCTTTTCGATCATTGTTCTTTTTGATCATTTTTCCGTTCGACCATTTTTCTTTTCGATCAATTGTTATTCGATAAAATGTTTTTTCGATCAAATGTTTTCGATCAAATGTATTCGATCAAATGTTTTCGATCAATTTTGTGCCACCCGTAATTTATTACTACTACTTAGTGTTCCCAACCGTCCCGGATTGGCCGGGATTAACCAGGAATCAGAAAGTTTGTCCCGACAAAAGTTTTACCTTAAAAATACCCGGAATTCTAAAAACTTAATAACTTAAAGAAATGCCAATGCTACGATGAGCGGCGAGTACCGCCGCCCATTTTTGTCTAGCCAAAGAAAACGTGAAACGTCATAAATGAAATTCATGTACTCTTGTGATGTGATAACTTAAATAAAATGTTAAAATTGGCTTCTTACCTAACTTCGATATCTGTCGGCAATGCTTTCTGCGAACGGGTTTTTATTTAGCATTATGGAAGCACTGTGGACCAAGCAAAGAAATCGTCTGAGTATATCTCAAGTAAAATCAGAAATTTAAAGTATCGGGACTTTTTGAATCTGGTTAAAACAGATACAAATTTACTTGAAGTAGTTCGATCTCAACAAAAATATAGATTTAACTAGTAGTGGAGAAGTTTTAAATTTGTTGTTTCTTCTTTTTATTTCTGTCAATAATAAATATTAGTATTTTTTCTTAAGCAGATACTTACCTCTCCTAGGTACCAATGGTATTTCGGTTATGTTTGAAAATTAAAAAAAAAATTGATTTAACATCATAACATCGATCTTTTTTCCGCGTTAAAAAATGCACACCTTTTTTTCTTACATTTAAAATGAGAGAAACAAACAGGGAGACTGGAAGTCGAGAAAAGAAGGCAATCCCAAAAAATTTTCGCCTGCAATCGGTGCGGCGCTTTTTTTTTTCTCTAACAATACATTCTAAATAAATCTGGCCCGGAATAGCACATGCTCAAGTTGGGAACCCTACTACATACTACTATTATTAAAATCAATGAAAGTTTCTGGCATATCCGGTCCACTTACATCTGCGCTATCTTCATCTATTATTTTTAATATAGCTGGATCCACTTCATCAAATTTTTTTTTCATTGCCACCGCTGGTCTGGTTCTGGTTCTTCTTGCGTTGTTTCTCTCTGAGAAATTAAGTTAGTATAAAAAGTTAATTTATTAAACAAAAAATTACTTACTAGACAATGTTCAGCTCTTCCATATTCCAAAAATGTCAAGACTAGCAAACGTCCAGCTTCTGTCTGCCGAAGCTAATTCTAAGGCTTCTGCTTTTTTAAGAACCTCTTCCCATGCTAATTGAATGTCTTTATTATTTGTATTTTTAAAATTTCCCAATAAGACTGCGTTTTTCGCTTCGATTATTGACAGAATCGCAAGTTTTTTTTTAGTTAACAGAAGTACGTTTGTTCATTTTCGAACAGACAAAGTTTAAATTCACTTTGCAGTTTTAAATGGAGAAGTGCAAATTCATTTTGACTTGCCAGATTATTATGAAATAGAAATCTTGATTTTTATATTTCTACTTTGCACATTTTAAAGTTTACTTTTCAACTTGTCAACATTCTCTTTTATGAAACATAAATTTACTAAAATTGTAAAGTGCAAAGTGAAAAGTTCCAAAGTAATTTTATAAAATAGGCCCCAGGTCATCTACATATGTTATTGTGTAGTGACTGTCATTATTGAAGCGGCTGATGAGGGTGTTGAGAGCCATGTTTTACAGTAAAGGTGATAGCACTCCTCCTTGTGGACATCCCCTCGCAACTAAGCCTCTTATAGGACTCACCCAAAAATGTATCTGTTCCTTTGTCTCCGAAATTTTACCTACCCCGTATTATAAAAACATCCATTATAATATAGTACATATGCACTAAAATCTATACTAAACCGTGTCGTAGTAACTATATGTGTGTAAAGCAGTGTCAGGTCTCTGGAGCACCTAAAGGTAACCATGGGTACACTTTATGTTTTGTCAATTAGAAACCCATCAAAATGGATATTGGTTTTAATGAAATACAAAAATTAACCGAGTTATTTAATCCAAAAAAGAATGATTCTGATTCAGAAGATGAAACACAAGAATGCGAGGACAATACAGATATCAGTAAGTAGATTAAAAAAGCTGTTTAAGTTAATATCTTATTTACACGGATGTATCATTCATCTCATATTAAATTTAAATTTACTGAATTGTAAAATTGTCTTTAAGTTTATAAAATCTGTTAAACTTTTCCGTCACTATAGTCTGTCTTGTTTTGTGTTATGTAACGGACCATTTTTATCTTTATAACGAGGACTTTGTCAAGTTGGGTCCTTAATTCAACACAAATTATCATGGACGAGTCTAACCATAGCAATTTCTTACTTTAATCTGGACTATTTTGATCCTGTAATATGTATTTTATTTTTTATTAGACTATAATTATTAAAATCATTGAAAGAGTTCTTACATTTCACACCACTTTTTTCCTTCATTAGTTATTTCTATTTTTTCTGTTCTCTAGTTGGGCCAAGTGGAGACAACGCTGAACCAAAACAGAAGAAATTAAACCCATATAGCAAAATTGAACGTGATGAAAAGGCGAAAAACGAAATATTAGATGAAGAAACTTTTTTGGACGAACAGGAGCATAAGACAGAGAGAGATTGGAAAAAGACACCAGTTTGGGATATTAGTTACAAACAACAAGTTACAGCTTCTGACGTGTTTCTGCAAGTAAGCCTTTTAGTTTTTTATACAGGGTAGCTGTTAAAGATGGAACCAAACTTATAGTGCTTAAACGGTTCAACATACAAAACCCAAAATTTCAGAATTTCAATTAAATATATTTGCGCATATTTTAGCTCAAAAATTATTTTTTTTATAATTACAAAACTTTAAGCATGGCCGCCATCTTGACTTTTTTAAATAGCAACATGGATCATGTGATATACCATTTGAAAGGGTTTAACACCCTGATTACAAAAATGTGTTTATTTGACGTCTTGTGTCAAATGCACAGCCTCCTACGCTCCCTATTACTAATATCCTTTCTGTTGTGTTTAGACCCCATGTGTGATACATTTTTGTAATCAGGGTGTTAATCCCTTTCAAATGGTATATCACATGACCTATGTTGCTATTTAAAAAAATCAAGATGGCGCCCATGTTTAAAATTTTGTAATTATAAAAAAAATAATTTTTGGACTAAAATATGCGCAATTATATTTAGTTGAAATTCTGAAATTTTGAGTTTTGTATGTTGAACCGTTTAAACACTATAGGTTTGGTTCCATCTTTAACAGCTACCCTGTATATGTATATGACATTAATTAATTTAAAAAAATTACTAACTGATAACAGTTTATTAAATTATTTGATACTTTATCTTATTCCGAGACCTTATTTGCACCCTATTATTTTTATGTAGTTTTAGTATTATTGTTAGCTAATACTCAGTAGGTTGATATAAAATCCAAAAAACGGCTCCATGACAAAATAGCGCAGGACAAAATAGAACAAGGATAAAATAGCGCAAGGACAAAATAGCGCAAGGGCAAAATAGAACAAGGACACAATAGCGCAGGACAAAATTGCGCAAGGACAAAATAGCGCGTAACGAAAAGGATATGTTTTTAATTAATGAAATTCATTGAAATAATACGTAACAAATACTGTTCCAACGACGCCTATGTAGAAAATGTTTGAAGTGTAGCTCCGTTTCTCTCACAAATTAGGATCCGACCCATTTTAGCGCAAAACAATTTCGCGCAGGACAAATTTGCTGCCACAAATTTTCGCCGAGATAAATAGATGAGAGACAAGTTTACGCCTGTTTTAAATAGAGTGAGAGCAATTAACGCCTAGTCTAACTATAGTGAGTTAAGTTACCGATTTAAAAAAAAATCTGACGTGTCCAACACATGACTTTCCTATATAGTTATTATAGGCTTTTTCCGGTTATTTTGTACAACCTATTGCAGCACCTCTATAAATATTTAGAGGATAAACTAAATATATACATTTTCCACATTTTCCTCGAAACATTTTTCTATAGATATTCATTGAAAACGAAAATACTGAAAAATTTAAATTTATCACTCTTTCTCCAATTTTTCCATTACGGTCCATTTTAGAAAAATCATATATAAACAAAAATTATAGGGATCGATATCGCAAACAACTTTTAGTTCAACAATTTTCATAAAAATCAGAATTTTGCACATTTTGTCAAATTTCTCGAATACGGACCATTTCAGGAAATTTTGACATAAAACAAAAATTATAGATAATAATATTAGAAATAACTTTTATTTAAACAATTTTTTTCTCCAAACATAAATAACAGATATATTCCATAAAATATAAAAACGGCCCCCCATAAAGTACCCCCCCAGATGTTCCGACTTTGACCAAAATCTAATCATTTCACGTCAGGCCGAAATAAAACTTAAATTTAAAATGTAAATGTATTTTCTTTATCCGTTTTTGAGTTTTCTTCAAAATTCGAAAATTACACATTTTCTCAAATATCTCGAATACGGTTTATTTTAGAGAAATTATGTATGGAATAAAAATTATAGAGAATTATATTACAAACAACTTTTAATTGAACAATTTTTATAAAAAAATATTTTTTTTTTCATTTTGTCAATTTTCTCGAATACGGACCATTTTAGGAAAATTTTGTATAAAACACAAATTATAGATGATAATAATATTAGAAGTATCTTTTATTTGAAGAATTTTCTTCTCCAAACGTAAATAACAGATATATTCCATAAAATATAAAAATGATTCCCATAAAGTACCCCTCCAGATGTTCCGATTCTGCCCAAAAACTAATCAGATCATTGGACGATGGAATAAAGCTTAAGTTTAAAATTTGGTGTTTTTCTGTGTATCGGTTCATGAGTTATGCGACACACAGACACACACACACACACACACACACAGACATCATCGCGAAAATAGTCAAAACGGATTCAGGGGACCTCAAAACGTAAAAATCCGTCGAAAACTCGAGGTCGAAAAAAATCATGATTCCTATACTTTCCTTATATCTGTATACAGATAGGAAAGTAAAAAGTGTAACGAATTAACGCGTGACAAAATATACCAGTATTCTAATTTAAATAAAAAATAATAATTTACCTAACCTGTGTGGCCTGGAGCCATGTCGGGTTGCTGTGTATGGTCCCAGGCCGCAAGGGCTAGGTAAATTAGATTTTTTTATTTTTCCTAATTTTATATCAATTATTTTAGCAACAGACGATTGGCTCCAGGCCGCCAAGATTAGGTAAAATAGTTTTAGTTTTTTTTTAATGCGATTTTATGTCCTGCGCTCTTTCAAATATTCCAGTATTCTAATTAAAATAAAAAAAAACTTAAACTAATTTACCTTACTTGGACGGTCTTAAATCATTGCAAGTCATTTTGAAACATTTTAAAAAATCGTTACTAATTTACCTAACCTGTGCGGCCTGGAGCCATATACAGCAACCCGCCACGACTCCAGGCCTCACAGGTTTGGTAAATTAGGTGAATTTTTTTTAATTTTAATACTGAAATATTTTGACACGCGCTTTTATGTTCTGCGCTATTTTGTCCTCCGCTATTTTGCCTTGAGCTATTTTGTCTTTGCGCTATTTTGTCTGCGCTATTTTGTCCTTGCGCTATTTTGTCCTGCGCCATTTCGACATGCGCTATTTAGTCATGGATCCTAAAAAACTCATCTCAATATATCTATATAAAAATTTTTATTTGCAGATGGGTTTTAAAAACCCAACAACATCCAGTTGCGAAGATATGTTGGTAACGATTAGTCTTCCAGGAGACAGCCATTTTAATATGGATCTAAAAATTCACAAAGAGAATCTGATTTTGGTATCTCCCCGTCATTACCTTGACCTCAAATTACCACATCCAGTCGATCCCCAACAGGGAAATGCAAAATGGGACAGCGCTGAAGAAAAGTTGATAGTGACACTCAGGATGGATAGAGAATTAGATTTAGTTAATTTTTAGATAATTTTTATTTATGACATGGTTTAGCAAGAGATCAAAAAGTTTTATTTAGGTTTTTTTTAATTGCCACTTTTTGGAAAAATTTTATCAGTAATTTTAAAAGTTTTACAGTACAAAATATTATTAATATTTTTTCGTTATTTTTTATGTTTTTTTTTAGGTAACTTTATTTTGTAATTTTTATTTTAAATTACCTTTCATACCGAGTACGAGTTCATGGTTGAAACAAAGATACTTCATCTGTTTGATCTCTTATAAAACAATAAATCTAATTATTATTTATATATTTTAAAATCAGTTGTATTTTATTCGTTAAAATATTTAATAAAGATCGTATAGAAAAACTATTTTAAAAAAATGTTTCTAAAGTGGGTCTTGGTAAAAATTACGCACGTGGATTTGGAAATTATTGACTATCTCAGCGAAAGCTCAAACGGACAAGCGCTGTGAGTAGAACAGGAGTAGGTGGGTTTGAATCGCCACATGCAGAATTTTGTTAACTTTCATTAAATTTGTTTTCATCTTGGGGGTTCAAAAATAATTTTCATTATTTCGTAGGGGTAATATTAGGATTTGTTTGGGGATTTCCTAGGAATTTATTAAATTATTTTTAAGGTAGTCCACTCGCGACAGTCGTACATAAAAATATCGCCTTAATGTGAACACCAAAAGATTCTCAATGCTAAAAATTTTTATTTTTGTAAGAAACTGTACCCAACACATGTAAGCTTTTACGGATGTTATAATTTCAAGTAAAGTCCATCCGGCAATGTCGCAAATATATAAACGGTGGGCTATAGAAATGTGTCACTTCCTTATACTAATTTTAAGGGTTTGCTTTAGTTTAAACAGAACCGTCAATTCCAGTTCTCAAATACAGTGGACGAATTATTTTTTCAAGAACACGTCGCGAGGTTATACCAACCTATTGGCTGATCGAGTATAATTCAAGTATCGCGCGTTAAGTGTAGCGATTACAATGTTGCCAAGTTGTAATCATTGTACGCAAATACGCGTCGACTGCTTTAAAAATATTTTTATCTTAATCTATATCTTTTTATAAAAATGGTCAAAAAATTCAGCGTTTCTTTAGAAAATTTTATAACTTTACAATACAATAGTTTTTAAAAAATATAGTTAGAACCGTTTTCGAGATATCTTGAAATAAATGCATTGCTTGTGTACATGACATGCTTCAAGAGTGTTAATTATGCACATTTTGATTATTAGTATCTCGTTTCACAGACGGTCAACAATTTTTTTTAGTAACTTAAAAGACAGTTTCATTAACCTTATGTTTAAATTTTATTGAATTCTTTAAGAAAAGCCGTTTTACCAGTGAAATACCTTAAATGACAGTTTGAATTTAATGTAGAGCCATGCGGACTATGTTTATCTAAAAGGAACCAAGCGAAAAATTGGCAAAAATGCATTAAAGGCACTAAGCAACAGAGGAAGGTTTAATTTACCTAGATCAGCCATACTCAACCTGCGACCCTCCAAGCTTTTTTTGCGACCCTAAACACTAATAAGAAGGTGATACGTTGGCCGGAATTTTTTTATTTAATTTAATTATTTAAAATTAATTCTGGTAGGGTTCCCCACTCGACCATTCACTGTTGGGTTCTAATTAACAGTGCTGTTCCTAAAGCGGCGCTGGGAAACAGTAACAAAGCCTACACAGAACACGAGGCTAATGACCTTAGTAGTCGATGCCGATGACACCAAATTAAAAAAAGGTGCTTTTTAAAACTATAACCTTCTGTTTTTAAAATCTTGAGCGAAATGCCCAAAAATATTCTTCGGTCACTGTGCTAAACATCACGCTTATTCTTAAATAAACGTTTAGAATTCGTGGGGATACTCCAAAAATAAGATAACTCCACTTTCTACATTTTCGAGTTAATTCACTTTCGTCTCCAAAATAGTTCAAATAATATACGGCATAAACAAGACAAGTGGAACGAAGTCTATATTATATATAATAAACAAATGGCCAATAAAAATTAACTTTAAATTAATACATTCAAAATATACACAAACAAGATGAGTAACATTTATACCGAAACATAATCATAACATTGTGTTTAATTGCTAATAATTTGTCCACATAAGACATAAATGTTTTTTTTTCTACCTTTATAAATGTATTTAATATGATTCCTGATAGTATATATTTCTGCCAAAACAAGATAAAGGCCAGAATACCTATTTTTGTTGAATGTATTTGTTGAAATACTTCAACATTTTTCTCAAGCCATTTGTCTTGTTTTTCCTAGAGCCGTCCCTGGCCTTTCATGATTGTTCCGAAATCTACAAGATGATTATGTCACCCTTTCCTTACGCGATACAGCTAAACTTTAAAAACCAATAGAGGGATGCCTGAAAGGGTGAAAATAATCTCTGAAAATACTTATCAAAATTGCAAGAAGATTAAAATTTTAAAACTAAAACTTTGCAAATTAGGTGCTACACCTGATGAATTTCACTATTATTATCACAATCTACCTGTATCCAATAATGTTAATGACACGGTACCCGAATCTTCCATTAAAGAAAGTGACACATACACAACAATATTCTCACGTTAAACGTGTTTTAATAAAAAAAATGTCACGTTTTATGTGCTCTTTAATAATTAAGGGACTATCTTTGTCCCGGGGGTTGAATAACAAAATATAACACTCTGGGCCTACATAACGTGAGAACTCTATATTGCCTTAAACTTGGCTTTGTAGCCTTAACTGTATAAGGGTTCTACTCTTGATGTTAGAACCTAATTCGTCCCTGAAATGGGGCTGAAGAAAACAAATATAATTTAAAACAAATATTTTAGGCACATGTTACAACCCTTGGCTAACTACTCAAAACGCAATTATTCAAAATACAAAAAAAGACTTTTAATTTAAACTATAGAGATCCTGAGCTGGAGCTGCTACTGGGAATCTCCTACAAGGAGGGCCTCCTATGAGGAGGATCATTTCCTGTGGAAAAAGCCCTGCGCATTCCCTCGACACAACCTTTATAACTTTTTGATAGTTTATTATTATCAAACTAATATTTAAAAATTATTAAATAACCAACCTTGCACATGATTGCAATTCAAAACAAATTTTCGACATACAAAGTTTTATGTTTTCATTGGAGTTATTGTTTGTTAAACAGTTTAAGGTTTTAACTGATTGTTTTTAATAAACAGCATTTGCTCAGAACTCTAAAATGTGAGTTATCTTGTTTTTGCAGTAACCCGACGGGATATATTTGTTTTTCAAAAATATTGTGGGCCGTTTAACATAGCGTGGCCCGAAGAAAAAAAGTATGGCTGCTCTAGATACTACTCTAGTGCCATCTTTTGGCCAATGAACCAAACGACAAATAAGGAAACAGAAATTCCTAATTTCAATAAATACAAAAATATCTTCAAACTCATGTTACTAGCTCAATAAATTTATAAAATTGTGCCTATAACATTTTTTTAAGTATCTGATAATACCTAGTTCAAAAAGCTGGAGTTCTCAACACTTATTTATTTTAATAAAGCATTATCATCTTTAACCTCTAATATCTTAAAGTGTCACTGACATAACTCGTATTTTTGTTCAGAAACATTTTTTGAAGATCGCGTTATAACTATTTGATTTTCATATACTTTGCATTGAGAATATTTTCCCAAATCATTATTAATTGCATTGGTTCATTATTTATACTCCTTCCATGGGCGCCGGCAGGGGGGGGACAAAGGGGCAGTTGCCCACTGGCCCCCTGAGAATTTCCAAGTTCTCAAAAAAAAATTATACAATAAAAACTTCTGTTAAACAATTATTGGGCATAAGCTTAACTGATAATAATAGATTGTATCGAGTGTTTACAGCCAATTCTAGATAAGTCGGAAAAAATAGAAAAATGACTTTTATATAGGTATCATCAAACAGTTTTTAGTGCTCTTTCTGTTAATATACTCTGTTTTGTGAAATTTCATAAGTATTGTTAACTGGTATTCCGAAAAATCGATATGTGAGTAAAGATCTTTTTTTTTTTCGAAACTCTTTATTAATTATTTAGTACATCTATAGCAAACTAATATTTAGAAAAAAAAATAAAGCAATTCGTTTAATCGTTATAAATAATATGTACTATATAAACTGACGTAGGCAAACCATCAAAAGCATTTATTTGTAATTAAAAGAACAAACAAAAATACTTAAAAGACAATATCTTCATAACAAAATTTTATTACTTATCGGGTTTTCGCCCTGGACCTTTCGTATATTTTTTAAAGTATCTAATACCTTGAAACGGAGAATTCGGCAGTATTTGACAACCACGCATAAGCTCATTATATTCCGTATCGTATCGTATTACACGATAGCGGATAGCGTCTATAAATCGCTACATTTCTGTAATTTTTTAAAAAAATTCACAATTTTGCATTCTTGGAAAAAGTTCAGGCGGCGCCCATGACTCCTACTGATTTTAATAATTGTTGAATCATTTTTAATAGAAAATTGTAACATTTTAGTTTAAAATTTAATTTTGTTGCACTCATCAATTGTAACAACTAGTACATTGGATCATGATGCGAAATATCATGTTTATGATTAATAAAATTGAGATTTAGTTTATTGTATTTGGCGCCAGTAACAGAAATACTATTTGCAAATCATGTTTTCATAAATAGAATCAAAGTAATATAAGTTGAAGAGGAAAAAGCATAAGACGAATGGCAATTTCAACTTAATTGTAATTAATTAGGACTGTGGGCCATGTAGCCTTAAATATACCTTAAATATACAGGGTGATTCGTTAAGAGTGGCGACTGGCGACAGGCTACATACGCTATGTACACGTGAGATACCGGGTGAGCTGTAAATGTAAAAAGTTCGAGTTTAATGGAAACGTTCCAGTTCTCGACTTTCATATTTTGAAACGTCTTTGAGTAAAAAATAATATCCAATTTCTCTGGTGCATTAACTTCACTCAAAATAATCTTTCTTTGAGAAATATTGGAGTGTATTTGGTTCAGAACTGACTCTATAAAAATGACATATCGCGTTTTGATAATCATACGAGGATTTTTAAGATCTATTAGAAGATACCCTTTAGATTCCTTTTAATATCCAACTAGAAAATAGGAGTTTAACTTTAGGCTGAGTTCCTTTAGGAACTTAAAATTCTTAGATAAGATAGAACAATTCTTTGACTAGATCAAACTTCTTTTGGAACCTTATCCTTAACTGCTGCAGTCGTTTGTCTATTTTTTGAATAAATGGCAGTACTTATATCGTTTCTGTTTAGACTTTTTTTGTAAAATTGGCATCAATCAATAAGCATCTTGTCTTTTCAACAATGGTTTTTAAAATAGTACACAAATAATAGTACACATTGGTTGTATTTGGGGATTTACCCCTCGATTTTAAAGGACCCCGCAGTAATCTCATGGAAATTGGATTTCTCTCAAATTGTCTGAATTTTTAATATGTTGTAGATTTTGTCATCCTGAACAAAAGTCTCCATGGGCACAAAGTGCCAAAATGAAAATTTTGGCAGCTACGGAGCTGCCAAAGCTCCCCTGACCCGTTGCAAAACTATTCATTTTCAATACTATTGACAGATGTCAAAAGCATATTTTAATTATTCTAATATATAGGGTAATGTTTTTAAGGCCACTGGATTCAATCCTCATGTCAGATTGGACAAATTGATCGTTGACAGCTGTCAATTCACGATTAACGAGGAATATAAAAGTAAATATCCTCTTTTCACATTGAGAGTTTGGGTTTTTGAGGTCGCTGAATTCAATTCTCATGTCAGATTGGACAAATTGACAGTTGACAGCTATAAATTCAGCGACCTCAAAAACCCAAACTCGCAATGTGAAAAGAGGATATTTACGTTTATATTCCACGTTGACCGTGAATTAACAGCTGTCAATTTGTCCAATCTGACATAAGAATTGAATTCAGCGACCTCTAAAACCCAAACTCTCATTGTGAAAAGAGGATATTTACTTTTATATTCCTCGTTGACAGTGTATTGACAGCTGTCAATGGTCAATTTGTCCAATCTGAAATGAGGGTTGAATCCAGTGACCTCAAAAACATTACCCTATATATTAGAAAAATTAAAATATGCTTTTGACATCTGTAAATAGTATTGAAAATGAATAGTTTTGGAACGGATCAGGGGAGCTTTGGCAGCTCCGTAGCTGCCAACATATTCATTTTGGCACTTTGTGCCCATGGAGACTTTTGTTCAGGATGACAAAATCTACAACATATCAAAAATTCAGACAATTTGACAGAAACCCAATTTCCATAAGATTATTGCGGGGTTCTTTATAGATTTTTAAATAAGTTATAAGTGCATGAATTGTTTTTATGTATTCTGTATCCTACATATTTAAGTTCTTGTACGCCACTGTTACGTGCATTAATCTACGAACGCCGGCGTCCAACTTTTTTTTCAATTTCTAAGAATAAAATCAACTATCTTTTATTTTATTAATATTCCTATTAATCCTTCTATGCAGTTTAGATGCCTTTTAAGCATCTCGTATTTCGTACTTTTAAGAATGCAAATTGATGATGAGATTTATTATTGTCGGGTGACAAATTAATAACAATCTGGCAGCGCTCGTCCCATTTATTAATTCTCATTAGCATGGTGTATTTGTAAAGTCAAGACCTAGATACTCCAATTTGAAGATTGTACACTCATTAGTGAATTTAATCTTTTTATACAATTAAAAAAAAAGTGAACAAAGTTTAAAAGAACAGGTAAGTAAAATATAAATTACTTTTGATATATGATAATTGATAATACAGCGCATATAGTAAACTTATTATTAATGGATTTCTCGAATTTGAATACCTAGATACAGGGTGATTAAAAAAATAATGCTAAAGAAATTATAATTAAAGTCCAGGTCTGGCTCAACAAACTTTTGGCATTCCTTTTCGCCTCCAAAACAAGATCTGATATGACAAAATTTATTGATAAGGCACCTGTTTTAAAAGAGATAAAAACATTGATTTATATTAGGGTCTTTTCAAAGTTGTGTAATTCGTTTTAGAAGTCCCAATTTTTTGTTAAAAAAACAGCTATTTGACAAATTGCTTAGAATTTAAAAATAATTTCTTTACAGCAAACTTCGGGTAATATTTCTATTTTTTCGAAGATACTTTCTAAATGTCTCAATTTTACATTTTTTCAGAACTTTGACATAATGTTAGAAATGTTTCTTAATCCAATTTTTTTTTAAATACCCTGCATAATGGAAAATGCAGAAATTAGTGATTAAATAGATTATTTCAAATTAATAAAAATTAGTTTAGCGGGAAAATTTATTCATAAGAATAATACTTTTATATCGTGACAAATGAAACAATTTAAAACTATTTAATGGACCTAATCTAACCTAATAACTGTTCAAAATGACAACCACTCAACTCTTTAACATTTTCTTGGACTGGCAATAGACGGTTTATTTCTTATTTCTTAACAAACATGTATTCTTTGAAGGCGATCATAGGGTGTATTTTCATCAGTATAAATGATTTATTTTAGGTTTTTCGTAGGTGGTAATCAGTGGCGGATTGCTAGTAGCTTCCCACAAATCGTAGATCCACCACTGGTAATAGCCAACAGGATTTAATCCTATCAAATACATTATAACATAGAGAGAAAATGTTTCTTTCATTCATAAATCCCATATAATTGCGGACTGTTATTGTTTTAAAATTATTAGTGAGTGTGAAAAAGAAAGACAGATCTCTTTGGACAACATTGTAAACAGAGTGTCCATAATAAGATAGCCAGTGGCCAGTGGCGTAGAGTTTTAAACTTAACATTATTGTCAGAGTAGTAGTGGTAAATAACGTAAATAAGTATATTTTTTTAGTAATATAATTATGATGATTTTTTTATGTACATAAATTCAAGTACAAGTAAATTTAAATACAAGAGAATTCAAGTCACTTTCCGATTTTTAATATTTATTGGTTTATAGTTTATTGGTATTTAATATATATTTGCTTGGTATGATGTTAACCCTTAGATAAAAGAGACCAGAGATATAACATACACCGGTGTTTAACCTGCGTAATTTCTAAAGAAAGGTTAACGGAGTGGGAGAACTGGGCAGAGACCCGAACTCTGTGACAGGAACCGGACTTTGTTTATTAGCATCATAATGAACTATTAGATTTATTTAAAATATATGTTTAATGGAATTTTGTATTATAAAATAAAATTAACGTGATTTTTTAATATCAAACAGATGCACGACATTTTATGTAAAGAGAAGACCTTTTATAGAATATTTCGTTAGCGTTTATTTACTACGGACTTTTCAGCAAGAGACTACAGTAAAATGTTGAAATAGAATATTGTTAATAGAGCAAGAAATGGTACTCATTGTCTACGAGTATTATAAAAAAGCATGTGCGCAGGCGAATACTGCAAATCAAACCTTTTGAGTTAAACATTATATTTTTTCTACGGCTATTACATAATATTAAAAATTAGTCAAAACGAGAAAATGCTGTTTTGTATTGTGACCTCAGCTTCTTTCTTTAGAAATATTAATTAATATAGAGGATGAGTCACATAAAACTCTAGAAATGCATATGTCTGAAATCAGATAACATTTTAAAATTTAAACCTAAAAAGTCATTTGGTCGCTAGGGGTGGGTGATTATCGAAATAAATGATCGATTATTAAAAATAATCGATTATTTTTTATCAATCCATTGTTTTCAATCTATTTGTTTTTCGTATTTGCTTTAAAATAGACTACTTGATTATCTTTGAAAAATCAAATATAATCGATTAATAAATAATAATCGATTAATTAAAAAGTCGATTAACTGATCAATCGATTTTCAAAAAAAAAGAATTATCGATTATTTTAAATAATCGATTATTTCCGATCAATCGATTATTATCAATAATTTATTTTTATTGTATTTCATTTAAAATCGATAATTCGATTATCATTGAAATACCGAAAATAA